CGATGGTAGACAGTCAACTTTGACTTGTCGACGAGACGCAAAGGACTGCGACCCGAGAGTAGCGATGGTAGACAGTCGACTTTGACTTGGCAACGAAACCCGAAGGACTGCGACCCGAGAGTCCTCTGACCAAATCAAGGCGAGGAAAAAGACTCGACCTCTGAAAGACCTGACCCCTTTGTGTGGTGTGCTCGCAGGTTTGCGTTTGCAATGAACGCTGCGAGCGGTCGGGGCCTAGAAGGTGCAGCTCGGGAGAGCACGCAAGCTATTGTAGCTGGTCAGGCGCCTGTTACTTATACAGTCGTAGGTCAAGGCAGTGGGAGCGGACGGACCAGTGAGGCCGTACTTCAGCCAGGGTGAGTGTCGCTTTCAACTCAGTAGAACCGTAGGTAGTGGATCGAAAATTGACCGCCGTTGATCTTAGAAAACTGCATTGTGAGGCGTCCTGTCGACCTTGGATGAGGTACATCTGTGGTTTGTACGTGAGGTCCCAAATGCTGATGTTCCGGTACCGATTCCCAACCGTAAACTGTTAGTGGTTGATGATGTGAGTCGAGGATGTTGGATTTGTTGGATCTGTCTCGTCAACCTTGTGTGCAACCAGGTGCGGAGTTGCAGGCATAATGTATCAGTTAGGTGCGCTGACTTTCTTGACGAGATCTGGTCCCTGGTATCTGGCTATTTCAGCTGTTAAATACCTCCTGAAAAAAATCCTGTGTAAGTGGCCTGTTCTTTTTTTTTGATGAACAACCCGCGGTGGTGGTAGGGGTCTGGGGGCGGTTTCACGGGTGAGCCAGATACCAAGTGGCTCCCGTTTGTTTCGATAAAAGGGTAATGGGGGACACTTGGTTTTACTGGCCCAGAAGTTTCTTTCCCTTTTTTTTTCCTGTAATTTTTTTTTGCCCAGAAGGTTCGCGTAGGCCCTGGTTCCCCAGCTCGTCAAGATCAAATGTGAAACCGAACGGATTCACTTCGCTGATTTGGGCATGAATGAATGATCTTCAAGGTAAATTTTTGGGCAGCTTTGATTAGAATGGAAGGTAGGCTGGACCCGCTTTCCAGCACAAGCTCCACTATTGCGGGGTAGAATTGTGAGGTGGCCCACCCTCAATTTGCATCTTTACATAATGGTACGCTAATGAGGGCGGGAGAAGAAGAAAAGGGAGGCGCAGCTAGTACTGGCAAAATGCTCGGACTGCTCGGACTGCTCGAACTCTTTGAACCACAAGTACTTGGCCCAGGTACAGGCCTTGGGAAAAAAATAGAGTAGAAACGATTCTAGTAGGATGAATTTGGGCGCTCCTGTAGTGACCCATGCATTTCCTAAAGTCATGGCTTTTTTTTTTCTTCCTTTCTTTTCTTTCTGTGGCTTGTTAAACGGGGCCAAGTCCCACTAGCATTGCTCCTGTTCCGGTAATGGGGACCTCCCTGTTGTGTGACACTCCTTGCCACCGCCTATTTCCATGGATCGTAGGGCAAGGCCATTCTCTTCATTTTTCAGGTTGGCTTATTGAGGCAGGCGGTGAACTTGGTGCTTCCCAATTGATTGCATATTTTCACCTTCTTTTGTGTAAGGTGGTCTGTGAGTCCTCCTGTCTGGGGCGGTGCACATCACGCTAGAGAGGGGGACCGCCAGTCCCGTTTCAGATATACATCAAGCTAGAGAGGGGGACCTCCAGTCCCGTTTCAGATACGGCGGTGAAGAACCAAAAACAAAATGGGAGAGGGCAAAAAAAGGAAGAAAAAGTTTGAGTAAATACCTTCCTCGTGCCGAGGCTAGAGTTACGGTAGCAAAACCCTCCATCACCAGATGGCCATGGTCCGTTCAAGACAGGAAAGCCTTCAGTGTTGGGCCTCTCTGCACTGCTCTCCAAAGGTGGAGCTCCACAATGAACTGCTATTTATTTTTTTCTTTTTATAAGTGCGCTATGTTCTTCTCCCGTCTATGTCATCTTCTTGCCAGTACTCATTTATCTCATCCTCTTGCTAGTCTATCTATAGTACGGGGGAACACCAACCAACCTGAATCTCTCCCTAGCCCACGGGGTAGGTTGGCACCACAGCAGTGGTGCAAGAGCAAGGCTGTACCGGTCCCTTATCACGGTGATGAGGGGTGGGCGGGCATTGCCGATGGGGGAAACAGGTGTTGCTATGGCCCCCCCCAAACTCCACATGGCGGTGTCTATCATCGCTGCATAGCAACCAACAACATCAGCCAAGGTCCCTGCCAATGCTGGCTTGGGGGGCCAACGGGTTATCTCTAGCTGGTAGAACACCAAGCTTGCCCAGGCACATACGTGAGGCTAGTAGGGATTGAACCCACGACCTCCTGAATGCAACTTCGGTGTCTTACCACCTGAGCTAGGCCCGCAGGCCTTACTTCCATATTTTTTGTCTTTTGTGAATGTAGAGCTCAGTGCAGCTGGGGCCATTAATTCATACCCCATACTGGGCGACAACGGGGGCAGCTTTCTCTGCGCTATTTTTTATTTTAGGTACTCCATCTGGAAGAACTGTAAGCGCCCTACACAGCTGGAACATTCAAATATAACGCCTGGGCGTTCTATTGGGCGTTGTAAGGAAGTACTGGTGCACGGGCGGCCGCCACTGGCGGCCCCAACTCCGCACCCTAAACCACGAGGGCAAAGGCAACCTGCAGTGTTCACTGATGTGTGGCCCTAACTGTCCTTACAGGGGTCGTCTCCATAGCCTGAGTAACGGTAGGTGGTGAAAGAAAGGTGAATGTGTAAAAAGAAAAAAAGCAAAAGGAGAATGTCTTCACTTTTATAGCACAAGATACATTCCTCAGGGTATAATCACACTAGGACTTCTTTTTTCTTCTTTTCCTTTTTTTGTTTTTTTCTTTTCTTTTTCGGACTTTCTTCTACTTAGCTACGGACGTGACCGCAAGGAGCAGTCAGGGCGTACTCTGACCAAGACCGGTTCCACTTCTCTGTAGACGTAAATGAGGTCAAGTGCATCCAGCCTTGGTCGGAAAAGCAGTCGTATACACTCCAGGAAAGTCCTGGTGTGAGTATGCCCTCACGTCTTTTTTCCTTTGGACGAGTGATGGAACGAAGTCAGGGGGTTTGTTTCTTTTTTTTTTTTTTTTTAATTTAAAAGGGGGTTTGTTTCCACTTTTGCAGTTCGAACACGGGGGCTAGGTCCCACTTACACGGATTAAGCGGTCAGATACATTTGAGACCGTAGATAGCAAAGATCAACGGCCAAAATCTTTTAATCCGTGCAAGTGGGACCATGTCCCCGGGCCTGTATTGTTCAGAGGTGTATCTACTGAGGGCATACTGCCCTACATAGGCGAGTTGGCGTTTGTTTTGTTTTCCTTGGACGTCGGTGAAGAACGGCAAAAACAGGAGCAGAGGGCCTGTATTCGACTGAGGGCATACTCACACTATTACTTTTTGACGTATTTTGGACGGAATTTCGGTCAGATACGTCCAGGTCTGGACGTGAATACTGTCAGATATATTTGTTTGAGATACTGGTAGGGTGAGTACACCCTGCGGTAGGCGAGTTGGATTGGACGTCGGTGAAGGACGGCAAAAACAGGAGCAGAGGGGTGGAGTTGGTGGTCACATCACTGAAAAATGAATGAAACTGAAGGCGTGGGAGTGGAGTGCTGAGAGTTTTGATAGGATCCGAGAGAGCGCCAGCTTTTTTTCTCTCGTCGGCCGAATTTGGTATTGGCGGGAGTTTTGGGCAGAGGAGGCAGCGGAGGCAGAGGAGGGACAGCGAGAATTTGGCGGGGCGAGAATTTGACGGGGACAGTCGGTCGTTCCAGAGGAACTGTGTCTACTACTAGCCGTTGGAGGAGTAACTCTCTTTTCCGTTCGAAGCCCCCGCAAGCGCCTCCTCCTCTGCCTCCTCCCTCCGCTCCGCTCTCCTGCACGTGTTTCCTCGCATTACCTACAAGGTGCGTGTACGTCATTGCTTTTGTTCCATGTCCGGTCGCCCGTGACGACAACAGATTGCTTTGTGTACTTAGTCTTTAACAGTACTTTGCTATTCTCCCCGTCTTCACCGTCTTGTCATCTCCATGTCTCTCATCACACTTTGTACTTAATGTTCTGGGTCGTGATCTCTGGTCTTCTATCTTATTCTGTGTTCTCTCTCTCTCTTTTCTCTCTCTCTCTCTCTC